TTTGGTCAAATTTACCAGTCTGAGTAGAAGAAATTGTTGGAGAGTCGTTTGCTGACGCGTGAACACTAGTGGAAGAGAGTAATTTAATCACCGCGAACATATCGGCTATATTCTTGTCGAGTTTATCGTTTTGCTTTGACACCGTTTCTTCTAAAGCCTCAATTCTCTAAAGTATCGCGTCGATTCGTGCTCCCAAAGAATCTTCAACTTCTTTAATCGCTTCGGTTAGGGCCATAGATCTCCAACCATATGAAGAACATAGATCCGTTGGTATTTGGACCACGGTTAGCCATTGGGACAAGACCTCGACCAGAATATCTCCTGCTCAAGTTCTCGTCCATGAACGACCCACCGTAGATCGAATCTCCTATCAACAAGTCCTCCCCGCTGATATGACCTCCCAACATCGATTGAAACTGAAAAATCATGTGGAAGCTTGATCCCTTGTAACAGAGTGGTAAGCCACTCACCTTCCCGATTCCTTTCTCGCCGGTACAAAGACATCGAAAATTCTCCGCCGCCATTGGAACCGTGTCGGTGAAGAGCTCGATTACGATTCGACCATAAGGTTCGCCGTCAAGGGTGAGATCGAAGAATACCTTAGGCTTTGGCATTTTCGTAAGATGATTACTTTAGGGTTTCTACCTCACAACTTGTGTATATATAATGTAAGCTGAATATTCGATTTTTTCCCTTTTTCAATCATCGAATCTTGTGTATTCAATATATAGTATATTCGATTTTACTCATTATAATAATAATTGCATTTAGAAATGGATTCAACAGTCCAAATGCATATAACTGAGGCAAGTTCCCAAATGCATGCTTGTCAAGATTTTGTTCGATCAGATCAATTCTCTAATGCTCGCAAGAATGAACACAAAGCACTAAACAAATAAAGCCATAGACCACAGATGGTAGTAGATAAACAAAGCAGTGTAAACATCGAATACACTCGATGCAATATAGATTGTAGAGAATGGAGCAACCTTACGATATTCATTGAAAGACAGGGTTAGTTCAGTTCAGCAAAACCGGTTGAGGTTGTTGTTTCTAGTAGTAACAAAGAGAGGAAACAAGCTAACTAACTACTGAAAGATTGGGGTCGCCCTCGCTCTCAAATCTTCTGTGATGTTTTAGTAG